GTCTCTATCCGTAACCTTGAAAACTGCTGAAATATCCGTAATGCTTCTGTAATGTTCTATTCCTTCGATGTGAGTCTAGTTAAACGATCCTTATCCGAGAAATAAAGGCGAAAATAACAAGCGATAAAAGCACATGTATGCCGAGGTTTGACCTAGTGTCGAATGACAACACCTCGGCGCAGACTGGGCCTAGTGCACAGGACACCTAGCATTTACATCCAGTGTAAATAATTTTTTTTTGTTATTTAGTGGCAAACTGTTTTGACCTTTGTAATTATGCATTCTGAATCCATTTGTTTGTTCTCTTAAGACCCATCTCTAGAAGGCAGAGTAGACAGATATAATCCAACAGGCTGGGTGGACATATGAGGTTGGGGTATGCTGGGAAAAGTTTTGCTTTTAGGATCTCTAGAGTTAAGGAGTTGTAAAAATATATTCAAATCAAATAAAAAACTAAGAGAGAATGGCCTTATCAGTAGAAACCTAATCTAGCGAACGTGTGCACCATCTACTGGGGCCAATGAAATCTAATGATCTAACAAGCAGATTGAAAATATGGCAGTGCCAGGCAGAGTGGGATACAGTAGTCTAGTTTTCCTCTCTGTTACTGTATTTTTTTGACTAATAGCCATCCCTTGATTTATCACCTCCCTTTTTTCATGGAAACATTTAAAGTAATCACCTCCTTCAAAACATTGGCTACCCTCCTCCTCACCCCAATGCAGGGTTACCCACAGAAGTAAATCTGGAGGATGAAGGTGAAGCAAAACTGATCAGTGATGATTCAAGCTCTGGCACTTACAATATTGACCGTGAAACTCAATCAAGGAACCAAATTTGGACTAAAAAAATTCCATGTTCAGTTTATTTTATGTGATTATTTCTTAAGTGTAAGATAGGGCATGGGTTCAATTCCCAGAACTCAGAATTTTTTCTGTGTTCTTCTCTCCACACATATCATTTCATTTATTATTTCTTCATAATTTATAAGGGATGATAAAACAAAAAATATTTTGGCACAACTTCCAGAGAGCAATATTTGAAATACCAGTAATATTGCTCCCCTTAAATAATCGTCCTCCCTCCAATAATTGCCCCCTTTTGATGTGAGAAAATAAAAAAGCTTGCCCCGGCTATTCTTTGAAGAAATACGGTAATTAAACCCTGACATCAAAATTTAGATTCTGTGGAGAATTTGTTGAAGTATCAATTAGATTCATCTTGTTTTATCATGTCCTTAATTCTCGTCACTAATTTATTTTGTATGGCTTTGATATTGATGACGAAATTTGATGTTAGTATTTTTGGTGATTCCCAGTTTGAAAGAGGTTTCAAGCAAGTTCATAATACAGACATTGTCTTCTTCAAACTGTCTAATGGTATATTATTTGGCTGTGAATTATCGGTGCATTGAATTACAGGAAAAAGCGAGAGATTTTGTCTTTGCAAATTTCACAAGCGTTGTTGAACACGAAGATTTTCTGAACTTAACCCTTAAAGAGGTGGAAGAGTGGATTTTAAGTGACGAAATCAGAGTAAGGGGAGAGGAAGACGTTTTCCAGGCAGTTGTGAAGTGGGCGGAAAAAAGGGGGAGCGGAGATCGTGAGAAATTTTTTGATTTGTTTCGTCATGTTCGTCTTATTTACTTGTCACGCAACTATGTTTTAAATGAAATTTTCCCACATCCTTTGGTAACCAACGACAAAGCATGTACAGCTTTTGTCTTAGATGCAGTAAAAGATGTCTCTTCAGGCTCTGAAGAGTGCTTTTTTGCCCAAGCACCAAGAAACTGTCTTAAAACAACAGAAGATTGCCTTGTTGTCTGTGGGGTAGGTAAAAGAACACTTTGCTACCTCCCTGCTGAGAACAAGTGGTATGATATGGCAGAGAAAACAAAGGGCACAGTATATTATCACGTGAGTGCTTCTCATGGTAAACTTTATACCAGCAACAAACCGGGCCCTGATCTAGCAATGGAGCGATATGATCCAGTCATAAACTCATGGGCACCTCTGATGTGTTACAGTGGTCTGATGTCGAGCCACTTAGTAACTGTGGTCAATTTCCAAGGGTTTTTGTATGTCATTTGTAGAAAGACAGGTAATGCGGGGTGTGTAAACTGTGTGTATAAGTACAATCCTGATTCAAACCTATGGCAGGAAGTAGCACCAATGAATGTTCCTAGAGCTGCAGTGTGTGCTGTAGCTGACAAGGAGACCATGTATGCAATTGGAGGTCAGGCAAACAATCAAAATTCGGATGTAGTAGAAAAATTTGACTCTAAAAGGAACTCGTGGTGTAGAGTTGCCTCAATGCTAGAGAAGAAAGCATGCCCTTGTGGTGCACTTTTACATTCTAAAATTTTTCTATTTGGAGGTTTTTTCAGTTCTCAACCCATAGTGGTATCTTTAAGCATTGAAATGTATGACCCAGGTTCAAACGTGTGGACAGCTATTCAGGGTATATCTGCACCAACACGCTATTTTAGTGCGACAAGTTTCAAAGGAAGCATTTATGTTATTGGAAAGTGGAACCAAGATAGTTCTGATAGTTTCTTGCGGATTTTTGATGTTGAAAAAAATGAGTGGAGGCACTGTGCAAATGTTCCTCGTATCTCAAATCCAATTGCTTTGGCTCCTCTGAGAATTCCAAGAGACATTTTAAAGACATGTAAGGTTGCAACATAGGCCAGTTCTTTTAAGATCAAGGTGATGAACAACTGTACCCCCCAAAAAGAGCTTATCATTTTCCTAATCACCACAGTTTGGCAAAGGTAAAGTTTGTATGAAATTTGAAGAAGCTGATGATGTTAACCCTTTAAACCCTAATATCAAAATTGAGATTCTCATTTACCATCCCTATACTTTTTCAATAGAAGTAGTGGGGAGAATTTGTTGAAATATCAATTAGACTCATCTTCCCTGATCATGTACTCAGTTCTCATAACCACTCTGTTTTGTAAAGCATTGATATGATAAGGAGAAATTTCATGCCAATCACTCTTAGTCACAAGAATATTGCTGTTTTAGGTTAATTCTGTGCTGAAGTCGTTACTTTGTACCTTAGCCCCTTTAAGTATCCTCCAGTGTAACAGCCGTCAATTCGATGTCAATTCCACGTTTTATTCGATCCGATCAACTACGCTCAGCACACCGTTCGAATACAATACCGTACAAGAAATCCTTACAAACAAGTGTCTCTATCCGTAACCTTGAAAACTGCTGAAATATCCGTAATGCTTCTGTAATGTTCTATTCCTTCGATGTGAGTCTAGTTAAACGATCCTTATCCGAGAAATAAAGGCGAAAATAACAAGCGATAAAAGCACATGTATGCCGAGGTTTGACCTAGTGTCGAATGACAACACCTCGGCGCAGACTGGGCCTAGTGCACAGGACACCTAGCATTTACATCCAGTGTAAATAATTTTTTTTTGTTATTTAGTGGCAAACTGTTTTGACCTTTGTAATTATGCATTCTGAATCCATTTGTTTGTTCTCTTAAGACCCATCTCTAGAAGGCAGAGTAGACAGATATAATCCAACAGGCTGGGTGGACATATGAGGTTGGGGTATGCTGGGAAAAGTTTTGCTTTTAGGATCTCTAGAGTTAAGGAGTTGTAAAAATATATTCAAATCAAATAAAAAACTAAGAGAGAATGGCCTTATCAGTAGAAACCTAATCTAGCGAACGTGTGCACCATCTACTGGGGCCAATGATATCTAATGATCTAACAAGCAGATTGAAAATATGGCAGTGCCAGGCAGAGTGGGATACAGTAGTCTAGTTTTCCTCTCTGTTACTGTATTTTTTTGACTAATAGCCATCCCTTGATTTATCACCTCCCTTTTTTCATGGAAACATTTAAAGTAATCACCTCCTTCAAAACATTGGCTACCCTCCTCCTCACCCCAATGCAGGGTTACCCACAGAAGTAAATCTGGAGGATGAAGGTGAAGCAAAACTGATCAGTGATGATTCAAGCTCTGGCACTTACAATATTGACCGTGAAACTCAATCAAGGAACCAAATTTGGACTAAAAAAATTCCATGTTCAGTTTATTTTATGTGATTATTTCTTAAGTGAAAGATAGGGCGTGGGTTCAATTCCCAGAACTCAGAATTTTTTCTGTGTTCTTCTCTCCACACATATCATTTCATTTATTATTTCTTCATAATTTATAAGGGATGATAAAACAAAAAATATTTTGGCACAACTTCCAGAGAGCAATATTTGAAATACCAGTAATATTGCTCCCCTTAAATAATCGTCCTCCCTCCAATAATTGCCCCCTTTTGATGTGAGAAAATAAAAAAGCTTGCCCCGGCTATTCTTTGAAGAAATACGGTAATTAAACCCTGACATCAAAATTTAGATTCTGTGGAGAATTTGTTGAAGTATCAATTAGATTCATCTTGTTTTATCATGTCCTTAATTCTCGTCACTAATTTATTTTGTATGGCTTTGATATTGATGACGAAATTTGATGTTAGTCACTCTTAGGGCTTTAAGAGTTCAAATTAATGCTGGTTGATTAGTTAAAAAATCAAACAAATTACGAGTAGAGACCATTCTCTTTTAACTAAACGGTTTTATAAGCATAAAAAAAAACAACTGTGCCTTAGGCAATAACATCTCTCGTAAAACTTCTTTATAGTTATTACAGTTAATAATATTATCTAGTTAATAACCATATTCATATGTACAAACAATACATTGTTACAAAATAACTTCTTGTCTTCATAATGTTCTTGATACTAATATCCCTGCATACTTAAGTACTGTAATAGTAGACCCCAAAAGTCTCTAATGTTGTAGAATCTTACATGTGATTGTAAATTAGGGAGCTTAAGAAGAGATGGTTTTGTGCGATGCGCCTCAACTGGAAGTGGACTTTTTACATTCTTTGGCAGTGGTTTTGCCCACATTCTCGAGCAAATCGTCTCTTTAAGAGTAAAGGAACCTCCTACCAATACAAGTTTAGTAGTACCAAGGCATATTAAAAGGGAAAAATCCTCTATTTTGATTGACGTGTGTCGCTCAAAAATGTCTTTGCTTAAGCTTCCTTTTATCGGAAATCGTCTCCTGCAAGGTTCCTGTTAGTCTAAAATGAGGCAATGACAAGGCTGACATTACAGACAAGGGTTCTTTAAAAACTTTATACAAAAAGTTTAAATAGAAGGTGTTTTTCTATTGTTTAAATAAAATTTAGTGAAAACGAACCTCGAGTTGGCTTATTTCTTTCTTGTAGTATACAAAACAACAGCTTTCTCCACGTCTTGACTGCTCAAGGGTAGTCTCAAACCACCCTGCATCCAGAACCTTTCTTTCGCTTGCTCGATTTTGATGTACAAAAGGATTGAATGGTTGCTAAGCAACACTTTACCAAGCTACTAGGTACTGCCATTCTGACCAGCCAAAACCACACTTGGAAACGTTGCGAATCCTATTTATAGCCAGTGCTATTCCAAAACAGCCCAATCACCCGGATGTGTATAACAGATGTTGGTTGGGTATCAGGCTTTGATTCACGATAAGAACAACACTCAAGGTTTAAAAATAACTTATCGTCTCACATATGATAAACATAACAATGTGTTAGTGACCAAGCATAAGGTCTAGATGAGTGGATATTTTGACCGAAATGAAGTTAATTAGGATCAGTGACGTCTTTAGCGTTCAAGGGTAGCCCTGAACCTTCCTGTAAGCAGCGTCTCCTTTTGTTTTCCTGATTGAGTACCTCAAAATCGAGCAAGGGAAGAAAGGCTTTAATGATAGGGTGGTCTCCAACGGTCTTTCATTTGTATGTACTGGTAGAACCCAACGGTTCCAATTCGAAAATCCTCTAGTTTTCTCGCTAGAAACCGGAAAGAACACGTTGAACAAACAGGGGACGCCAACGCACCAAATTGGTATTTGCCACTTGCATATCTTGCAAAATACATATTGTTTGCCACCCAAAATTGTGCATAAGCATTGTTTTCAGTTTCTCTTGGGACGGCTGTACGCAAAATTTGGGGGGGGGGGGGGAAAAAAGGGTTTTACCGGGGGAATATCAAAGACGAAAAAAACCCCCCCAGAAAAAAAAAAAAAAAAATATGTGGGGTTCCCACACCACCTTGTAACAAATTTCCAAACACTCTCACAAAAAAAAAAAAAAAACATTTTAGAATCTGGGGGAAAAAAAAAGAGGGCAA